GTTTGATTTCTTTGTCCACTTCGCTCGAAAAGACAGCGAAACCATTAGGCGAAACTAATGGTTTAGTTTTTCCCCGTAGGAGAATAAGGCTTTGATAGCAGCGACCATTTGGATTTGGTAGTAAGCGGAGAGGGTATGTTGTCCATCTTGAAAGTGAAGTCGCATAAATATAATACCATGAACTGAACTAACTAAATTAACTTAAATAAACTAATAAAGTAACTTGACTTAAATTGCGGAACGGAACGGGCAAATTATAATCGCACTGACATGCGACCGTGTTACAAGTCAATATCAGATTGATCGTTCTAATACTTATTAAGTACTTTTAAAATGGTATGATAAATTACTTTGTTCACCGTTGAAGATTTAACATTACTCCGTTTCTTAAATGGTACAGTCCCGATTGTGTTCGATGTCTTCGAAATTGGCAAAGCTGGAAATACGAGATTGTAGCTGTTGCCATTATTCTTAGCATCTCCTGAACTAGGTTGGCTAGACATCATTGACACATTCTTCATCATTGTAATTGTTGCTCTGAACAGGTACTAAATTACTTTCCTGAAACAAAATCTAAAAACTCTAAAATCTAAATACGAATGAATAAAAAAATTTAATTCATTCGAATTCGATATCCATGTTCAACTAGTATTTTGCTTCAGAAAGTGATTTGATACGTTATATAAATCAACTAAATGTTCTTCTATAACTATAAACAACTAATAAACTAAATCACCAATGATTACAAATATGCAAAATATAATTTTATATCGATTAATAACGACAACTTTTTTAAGTCTATATTATCAAATGATAATCGATTGAAACAATAAAATGTTCATATAAAAATCAAAAATATATTTAAATATTAAGAAACTATTAAATACCATAAAAATGCTATCATAAGCACTTAGTTTTAGTTTTGAGTCGCTACGAATAATATATTTTATAAAATAACAGCATAATGACTAATATCGTACAAGTATAACTGATATTAATTAAAATGTCCGATTCCGTCAATATATAATTTTCTTAAGTTTATAAAACTATTTTGTGGCTTTCCGGTATTTTTGCTTTTGTTTTACTACGTTAAAAAATGTATGAAAAATCTTGTACCTAAATTTCAACTTTTAATTATAACATTTTTTTAAGCTTGTTTAAATAGAAAAATTTAGCGAATTTTCGTAATTTTTGTTGAGTTTTATTAACATTTAATATTAAATAACGCTCAATTGTTTTACTCCTATTTATTAGTTGGAAGATATGTAAGAGAAACTTTTTATTACATTTTTAAGACTATTTTTCCAGAATTTACTATAGTTATTTTATCTTTGACGAAATAATTACGAAAGCTTGAAATGTTGAAACATAAAATATATCTATAGCATAAAAAAAAGGCTGTATCTATGGAAAATTATACTAGTAATAAAAATATTCAGAAAAAATTTCAAAATTCGGCAATTACTATTTTTTGGGTTATGATAAAATAAAAATGTAATGTTATTGAAACCCTGTTTCTCATAAATAATGTCGCTTATTGTTTTATAATTTTTCGATGGGTTTTCGTAATTACTAAAAAACTGTTGGGAAATTTGTAAATTTACCTCTCCTTTAATGTACTAACTATAATAACGAAATTTTCATTTTTTCCTATAGTTGTGATTTCTCTTTCTGGTAGAAATTGTGCACAAAACCATAGTAGTTGCCTATATGAGCGTCCTGCAAGGGTAATATCTTCGCTTGTCAGGTCACCGTCACATTTATATCAACGGGCATGACGTTCTCAAGCGATCCACAGAACAAAGTCTTGACCCAACCAACATTAAAAGCAAAACGTGACCAAAACCCATTAAACTCAAAATCCAAACACCCAGTTTGTGGTAATGATTTTGCCTCTTTAAATAGACATTTGGTAAAAGCTTCTCGTCCATGTGCAGTAATCAGAGTTCAATAACTGATTGATACAACGCCCGCGACACTCATAAAATAGTGTTGGCCAACGATATATTTTTAATTATCGATATCGTATTTTTTTTTCCGATATTGATATCGATTTAAATAACAACATAACAACAAGTTACATTTTATATAGTTTAGTTTATTGAAAGCACATTAAAACTATAGAATACATATTATATTAATATTAATTAATATAAATATATATTAATTAATAATTAATTAAGTAAGTAAATTAATTAACTATTATAAATTATTTTGTACTAACTGAAAAGTATCCAATGTATTTAATTAAAAAATTTCTTCTTCAAGCAGTTTTTCTATCAATACTTCAGAACTTGATTTCGATTATAAGTGGTATGCGAATTACACCTAAATAATTGTGATTTGCCAGTGACGTCCAAAAATCAATATTAAAAAATATTTTAAATTTCCTATTTTATTTATTGCAATCTGTTCAACAAGTCTAGTTATTGTTTGTTTACTAGGAACAATATACTCAGGTACGGCTATTTCCATTAATTCAAGAAAACCTTTACCTTCTATAATATTCAAAGGTCTTAAATCTTTAATAACAAATTTCATCAGGCTTTTTGTTATTTCCTTAGTTCATTTAGTTTTGTTTGATAATTTGGATGGAGTTTGCTTAAAATATGGAATCAAACTGTTTGACGTACTTGGTTTTGTACTTGAACCTTGCTGAAAATGTGATTTGAGATTAGTCGTATTTCCACTATAACCAACAGCACATTTGCACTTCTTACAAAAAACTTGATTTTTATTTGATATAATCCCCTTTTTATTAACTTTAAATCCAAAATGTTGCTATATATCACTTCTAGCACCAGACAACGGTACTAATTTAAAGTTTTCACTCATTTTATTTAATATAAATATAAAATAAAGAACGAAACAAAATAATTACGACGTCTAACCGCGAGTTAACAACCGGCACTGAATTTAGATTAAATTGTTTGATGTGGATAGGACCATATCATATCATAATTTAGTATCTACTTTATACTTTTATAGATATAATTTTATTATACTTATACTGTTTACTCATTTTAATTAAAAATACCGAAAATAATATAATCTTTCATAAAATTCCGAGCCCCGATTAATCACACCGATATCGTGATATTTTTGATAATTATTTTTAGATATCGACATCGAAATTAATAAGAAAATATCAACCATATCGATATCGTTGGCCAACACTATTATAAAATCAATGATGATAACTAGAGCTTGGATGTTTATTACTTGGCATATTTTTTTCACGTGACCAGAATTACCCTAATATGATATAAATTCGATTTATGAAATCTTGATTGCAAATATGCAAATTTATTTTGCACATTTTTGCATATTTGACATTTTTGAGCATATAAATGCATATATTGATTGTTTCTAGATTAAGTAGTATACATCATATAAATTATGTGTATAATATTAAATATTGTGCATATTATTGTAAATTATCATTACCATTAATTATGTCATATTCAGTCTTCAAAAACTAACTGTCGGATCGTCAAAGGTTTGAAAACATCAGCAAAATTATTGTTGTACAGTGTGATCCTGATATTTAAAGTGTGCTCAACCTATCTAAAATTTAACTTAGGTTAAGCATACTTTAATGTATAGTTTAACTTTAATAGATTGAAAACTAATTAATATTTTTTTTTTCATATTTATTAGCATTTATTAGTAATAAAGTAATTTTAAATACACATTCAAAAGATGATATACATTTTTTGAATTAATATTAACTATTATTTTTTTTTTTGCATATATTTTTTGAAAAATAGGTATACCATATTTAATACATTTTATGGCATATAAATGCATATTTTTTATGAAATTATGGTTATTATCATCCGAGCTCTAATGATAAACAAACCTCTCATTTGAAAGTAGCCTAGGTGGTTTTTGATTTTTGAGAAACCGGATTCTTTTACCAATACCTTTGAGTCTTGTTTAATATTCACTACAAAGGAAGTCTCCATAAACTAATTTGATGAACTCGTTTCTAAGTTCTCCACATATGCATGTTCAGACTTTCTTAGCCCAAAAAGCATACATTTTTATTAAATCGTGAGACTAATTTTTTAATTTTTTTTTTTTAATCATGAAATCTTAAATAATAGTGTAATTTATAGATATATTATATAATCAATAAACTTTGTATATTGAAGATAATGGGAAATTAAAATATACTATATAATATTATTATACTATTTACTATTAAATCGTTGAGAATGTAGAAATTTCAATGGGTGGGTTCCGGACCCGATTCCTCCCCTTAGGTACACTCTTGTATTGGTGTACATATAATATGCTTTTATAACCGTATCTACTAATATAAACATATTACGTGCATTTTTAATGTGTTAAAATTCATAAATTTTACTGTGCACATATTAATCGTCTAACAGCACAGTTAGTCATACAAGCATAACCGTATACGTGTCACGTGTACTACCTTGTATAGTACTAGTAAGTATAGTACTACCTAGCAGGTACGCTTACGTATTCGTAATAAAAACTGTAGACAAACCCGCACAAAAGTTGACCCATCACAAGGGGGAAGGCGAAAGGGGTTCTCTCGTAACGTCTCGTCGCTCAGGCTCGAGATCGAACCGAGGGAGGAGCCGTCGGTGGACCACACAGTGTGACCGCGACCGCAGTAGAACGCAACCTTGACGGAACTCTACTGAAGCATGAATTGTTTTTTTAACAACATTAACAATGTATTACGATATACTTATACTTAACCGTTCTGTAATTACTATAATACATAACTCGTGTGCAGTTTGCCATGTGGTGTGTGTTCCCGATTCCCTAGCGTAATCATCGGAATAATGCGTCGTGTGTAAACACAACGTGCACAGCTGCTGCTGTTGCTGTCGTTGTTGCTGTTATAAGTGTGGTACGGCGGGTATACCCCATTGTGCGTTACGATGTACCGTGATTGCGATACAACGGGATCAAGGGCCGGGCGATGGTCACACTGTTGAAGTCGAACGAACCGTCGTCACCACCGCTGCCGTGGCGCGCGCAGGGATCATCGCCGTCATCGCAGTAGCGGCCGCTGCTGTCCCTGTGACTCATTGGCCATTGGTGCCGGTTACGCGCGCGATGTGTGACCGGTTGGCCGCTCTGGACGGGCTCGTGCCGCCCGCTGTGGTGGCCAGGTCAACACCGTCGTCTCCGAATGCGTATCGTGCCGTCATTCAACAACAACAGCTCGAGAAGACCGCGTCCGTGCCGGACCTGCAGAAGAGCCACGTCGACGGAGATGAACGTGCCGCGGGAGAAGTGTCCACGACCACGGAACACCGTGCCGCTCCGGCGTCTGCGTGTGTCGACTCCAAGTCGGACGGATGTCTGATGGAAGCTGGTCGAGCACCCGTCACCAGTCTGAGTGGTACCTTTCTCACACCATCTAAGGTAAGCATTTCGTATGCAGTACACTTTTACCGTGTCCCCGAATTTCCAATAATGGGCATAGAATGATAAAAATAACAATATATTTTAATTTTTAACGGATTATGGGCATGAAGCGACAAACATAATGAGGATGAGACTTCAAGGATCAGGGTCTTCAAATTAGATTTAGCTCATAACCGTACACGGAAGTAAATATTTTTTAAAGTTATAAGACTTAAATAAATCTGAGAGTGGTATTTCTGTCATAGACTGGAACCTATAGGTTTTTTCGGTTCTGGTTTCGGTCTTGGTTGTTCAATTAATTTTTTAAGGGTTCATGTCTCGGTTTTTTAAAATACTAAGTGTTCTTGAACCGGTTAATTTCGGTTAATTCTGATTATTAGAGATTTATTAAAAAATAATATGAAATTATTTATTCTTGTTTACTTGTTTCATTTCATGAAAATAGAAGGTATTATGTATAGTTAAAAAAAAATAATTATAAATGTATTAAATATATAATTTATATCAGCCTATTATACTTCTATGAGTTAGGTTAATTTATTTTATTCCAACTCATATTAAGAATTTGTAAAATATTTTATAATATTGTAAAATATTATGATTTGATGAAATAAATATCTTTAATTTAAAATTTTATTTTAATTAGGAATCAAAGTTAATACTGGCTACTGTTGTTGCTACAAATTTTTTATAAACATTAGTTATATTTAATATTTAATTGACAAGATAGATGATATACTTATTGTAAATTGTAATATATTAATAAACATACAAAAATAATAATAATACAAATTTACTTATTATATGCATTACACTATTACAGTTTATAACACAAAATAATAAAAACATAAAAAGATTTGACTTTAATTTTTCTGAACCAACAAATGAACAAACAAATAGTCATTACAATAGTTTTACTAGTCTAAACAACTGACCTAAATTAACCTTTCTGTAATTAAGGTTACGGTTACGGTTTTTCATTTTTGGAAATAAAGGTTCTGGTTTCAGTTACGGTTCCTAAATTTTAAAGATTAACCGGTTCTAGTACCGGTTCTTTTCGGTTACGGTTCTGGTCCCTGATTGCTGTGTTGGTATTTTTACCAGTAACCAATAACCATCGATCTCGAAAAATGATTTTGAGTGAAAAAGGTCAAAGACGTAACTTAATGTTTATAAGGATAATAGAAGATCTAATTTTTTTAAATTTAAAAATTGAGTAATTTCCTAAATCTGGATTGACCTTAAAAACATTATTAAATTACCTAAAAAAGATGCAAATATGACATAAAAATTACAAAAAAAACGTTCTTAAAAAAATTACCTAAAAAATTATAAATATTTGTTTTAAATTAATAAAAATACATTTTTTTTAAATATTTTACTCTATTTTACTGTACAATTCTATATGGCATCCAAATTTGGGGACCAGCCAAACCTTCAAACATTTGCCTTACTCAGTCATTTCAAACTATAACACTTGGTACCATCATTGGTGCTTCCTGGTATATAACAAATCAAGCTTTACATAACGACTTACAGATTGAAACGGTAAATTTACTTTCAAAACTTTCAAAACGCCATTATAAATCCTACTACATAGAACTACCAATGAATATTACCCCATTAATTCAAAAAATGTCTACAAATCTTATCCTTGACCAACCTCCACGCAGACTGAAAAGAAACTGCAAACGTGACCTATTACTTTGACAAAATAAATATTTTTAATTTTTTTCCTTGATTTGATGGTCGCAAACTGATGGATAATTTCTGACCAATCAGTCTGTTTTAAAAGATCATCTTCTATATTTAATATTGAAAGTGATGACATACAATCATATAAGAAAAATTATAATTATGTATTTTCTATTTTTTGTTGATCCTCAGAAATTTGGTGCCTTATCAAACATCATAAAATTAGCCCCCGAGGCAATTGCCCCCTCCCTGCCCCTCCCCCCCGTTAAACGCAGATCTGCATATAACTCATGTTATATCAGTTTTTATATTCAAATTATGTCATTTAATTTATGACACACCTAGTTTTTAAATCTTGGTGGTGTTTTTTTGGACGCACCAAACTATAGTTTAAATTTATTATTTAACAACTGAAATATTTTGTCAAAACTAAATTCCTAATCTGCTCTTGTGAATCTAGTAATATTTCGACAATCGTTTTTAGGTAGGTTTAAATTGGCTAAGTGAACAGACAACAACCGTCTTAACCTACATAATAGGCATGTCAAACTCAAAGTATCAATTTGGCCAAGTATATTTAATAGTTTAATACGCATGTAAACATTTAACAAAAAAAAAAAAAAATTGTATACACATTTTTCAATTTTTTTTTTGTGGATACATAGAAAACCATCAATTAAACGTACCTATTCTATTACAGTTCATTAGAAGATAAACATAATAATGTACACCAAATATTATCTAACAATCTAAGATAGTTGTGACATGACATTAATATTTTAGAATTTTTTTTTAATATTCATTTTTTATTTTGTCCATTAATATTGGTAGTCGCTGACTATAATTTAATAAGCCGTGTGCTCTGTAGCATATTTAATTTTTATAGGCCTTTATGGAGGTAATCGATTGTGGATTTGGTTATAATTTACTTTAGGAACCAAATTAATTACTTTCGAATACATTTGAGGTTCATGATGAATTATTTAATACTTTGTATAGTAGACTTAGTCATAAGTTATACAAATACGAAATACTTCTAAATTACTCTTATTATATCAAACACTCATTGAAATAATTTTTAAAACAGTTAATTTCTTACATTATAGACCTTGATATTGGAACAATACATTTATAACATTATAAAAAAATCTTAGAAAAATGGTTTTCATTAATCTGTTCGTCATTTATGTTCATATTAACCGTTTTTTAAGATTTGTATGTAAATATTTATTCCAGTATTTTCATGTCCAACATAACAAGAAATGGTAACGATAATTAATTTTATCTAACAGGAAATGTCAGTAGTTATATTTTGTTTACATATAAATATCAACTTATACTATCTAAACCAGTGTTCCACTTTATTAAATAAACAATGAAATTGGTTAAGATAAATTTGTGTTAATATATATGTAAACATTTCTTTTTTTACGACCGCATGTTTATAATATTAGTCTTTCTTGCGAATAGAATTTTATTATCTTAAAATTTAATCACTGGTTATCCATTGACATTTTTTAATGATGATTTCTGTTTAGTATGCGTTTGTGACTACAATTTTAAAATTTAAAATAGAAATTTCAGTATTCTATTGAATACTATTACATAGCTTAAATTAAATTATAAATAATTACATTGAAACTAAATTGAAACCCTTTAACTACTAGGATATCATTATTAGATTAGTTGCTGCCCTGATTAAGATAAAGAACGCGATGAAATATGTTACTACATTTAACAAATTGCATTATTTCAAATAAACATGGCTTAAATTATTTTCTAGCATTAGTAAATTTATATTTTCACTTATCAATCATAAAAGTATACTGAAATATGACCACTAATGATAATTCGATTTCTAATGTGAAATTAATAACATGACTAATGTTTACTTTAGAACTACAAAAGCATTTTTTTACTGATTTGTTCAATAATTAATTTTAAAATATCTATATTTACTACGCAAATTAAGATGGTATTATTTTAATGTTTAGTTGTAAATATAATAATCAACACTAGAATAATATTAATAGCTTATACTTGTTAAACCATATGTGAATAAATTTAGTTTAAAAATAATGGGGAAAGAAGGCAGAAACGTAAATTAGTTGGAATAATGGGGAGGCGGCAAAACAAAAGTATTCAATACCTACCTATAAAAAAAAAGTTGGCTCGTAATATACAATTACATAATATAAGTGTATAGATGTATGTTTATTATTAGGGCTTGGAAGTTCCATTTTACATTTTTTTTTTGGAACTTTTTAAACGATGCTCTCCTAGTCACAAATAAGTTTCATTAGCATGTGAATCCGAATAATTAATTTTTATTTTGCATTTTTTTTTTTTTTTATATAATGTATTTTAAGTCATCAACTTCCGATTTACTATAGATTTATCAAAGCTTACTTATAATTCAAAAATCAAAATCATTGCATTGTATAATTAGAGCGTATTTGATGTTATCAAAAGTAAATGAACGACGATTATCTTATACTTGGAAAACTTGTCTCCACGTCCACTGAAGTGATTGGATACTCAGACGAGCGCTAACTGATGTTTTAATTTTCACCATTTCGAAAATATTACGAAAAAAATAATAAAATTTAGATATAATAGATATTAATCACTATAACGACGCGATGACTATAATCGACGGATACAATCAGAAACTAATCGAATATTAGGAAAAAACAATAAAATGTAGGTATAATAATATTTACCACAGCACAACTATGAATGTAATCGGCGAGATTAAATCGGACAAGTCTTAAGTTATCAGCATAATGGTCGACAAGAAACGATAACTAGTGAACAAGTGTGAGATCGGTAAAAATGAATAAAAATGTCAAAAAATTACTAAAAGTAATGAACACTAAACATGGAAAAAAAAAATGAAAAATGAAAAAATAAAAGCTATGTTGCTTTTAAAAATGTATAATTAAAAATAAAATAATTTTTAAAATAGCGATTCTCAAACTTTTACGACCACAGAACTTTTAGGAAATAGTTTGTTTTATGGAATCCCTATGTCTTCAACTCTAACAGTCCAACTTAACTTAAATTTTTAAATTATTTATATTAAAACTAATATTCCAAAAAGTATTTTAAAGGTAGTTCATGATTATTGTTTATTACAATTACTACTCTTAATACTCACATACATCTTGAGGGATCCTTTGTTTCTGCTGGACATACTTTGGTAAAATAAAATGTACAAATATATACGCTAGGATAAAAAATAATTATTAACTGATTGGTCATTTTATAATAACATATTGACATTATTTTATATTCTGAAT